CAAAGGTCACACCCCGAAAGAAGGGGTGGGCCTTGAAGTGGTGCAGGTGGCGCGGGCGCTGCAGCGGGTTGCGGCACAGGAGCTGGGGAGAAGCCGGGCGTGAGGCGCCGCAGGCAGCGCGGGGGGACAGGGAGTGGGGCCGCGGGCACTACCTCGCTGAGCAGGAGGGACAGCGCCCGGCTCAGGCTGGGCGGCACCGCGTAGCTGCACCGGGTCACGCTCGCCAGCATGGCCACGTGGTCTCTCTCAGGCGCCACGGGGAACTGGGGGCACGGAGAGGGAAGATCAGCGCCCGGGCCCTCTCCCCCTTGCGCCCCTCGGGCTCAGCCCCAGCCGGGGGGCCCGCAGCAGCCTGACCTTCACCTGTCCCGTGGCCAAGGTGAAGAGCACGACCCCCAGGGACCACCAGTCAGCAGCGTGGGTGTAGGGACCTCCACTCAGCACTTCGGGGGCTGTCGGGGAGACGAGGCAGTGTCAGGGTGGGCCCAGGCCCTGGCCCCCACCCCAGGCCCCGCAGCTCACCCATGTACTGCAGCGTGCCGCAGATGGTGTAGGCCCGCTCCCCCCGCGGCAGGTGCCGGGAAAGGCCGAAGTCTGTCAGCTTCAGGTGCCCTGCAGGGAGGCGCGGGGGCGTCACCGGCCTGCCCCCACCCTACGCGCCTCTGGCGCGGCCCCATCCTGGGGCTGTGGGTGGAGGAGGTGGTCTCCCTCTGGCGCAATGCCCCAACCCGAATGCACCGCCGCTGGGAGGAGGGGACCGGCCCCAGGCCGGGCGCTCTGCTGGGCCTCACCTCGCGCGTCCAGGAGGATGTTTTCCATCTGCAAGGAGGAGACGGCAGGTTATGTCGCTGCCATGCCCAGGACACGGAAGGAGCCATGTTTTCAGCGGCCGGCACCAGCGCAAGAGGTGGCAGGGTCCCATGCCCCAAAGCCCCTGCCAGCAGGGAGGAGGGAGCCAGTGGGGCCAAGGCACCCGAGCCGGGCAGCTAGCACCTGCATCGCAGGGCACCGGCACATGGCAAGGCCGGACAGGGCCACAACGTACCTTCACGTCGCGGTGCACAATGCCCAGGTCGTGGAGGTACCCTGGGGGAGGCGCAGCATCAGCTCATGGCTTCCCCAGCCCATACCAGAGCAGCCCCCACCAGAGACCTGGAGGGCACAGGGGAGCTCCTGGGGTCCGGCCAGCCCCTCCAAGGGGGCAGCAGGAAGCACAGCCCAGCCTGGAGCCGGGGTGGGAACCCAGCAACCCCCACCGGTGCTGGGGCTCCCAGGAGCAGCGCCAGGGCAGCTCGGCAATGCCCACCGGCTCCCTCCACCCCGGCGCCGGCCGCTCACCCAGCACCAGGATCAGCTCAGCCGCAAACAGGCGCACGGTGACTTCCTCCAGGTGCCCCGAAGCGGCCCAGAGCGTGTGCAGGTCCCCGGTGCTGCAGTACGTGCACACTGCGCAGGGCGAGGCAAACAGACGCGCTGCAGCCCAGCCGCCCTTTCCCTCCCCCTGCCTTGGGGCTGGAGACTTTGCCCTGCCGTGGAGCCAGCTGCCCCCAAGAGAACTCCCCCACTCCCCAGGGGCAGAACAGGCCTGGTCCCACACGGCTCCGTCACCCCCACACCACACACCGCTCTCCCCCGGGGCAGAGGCAGCCCCCGCACCCTGCCCCTCTGATCTGCGGGGCAGCAAGCAGCGCAGCTAATCCAGGGATTGCAGCCGGCGGCTTAGCGTGGGGCAAGCGTGTGGCAGACGTGCGCAAAGGGAGCGGGAGAGCTCGTGCAAGGGACCAGCTCCCCCCGGCCAGCAACAGATGGTCACTCACTGATGAAGAGGTGCCGCTGTCCCTGCCAGCTGTCCCCGAGGCAGTGAACAAAGGGATGCTGCACCCGCCGCTGGCAAGCGAG